GTCAAACCAATGGGGTCAGATTCTGTAAACAAAGTCCCTTCTGCAAAGACAGAGGGTGATCACCTCACTGGTTGCCCCCTCTAATGCAGATACATGAATTGCATATTTCAAGGAGGTCAAGGACAAATGTATGAATAATATGGGACAAAACATATTTCAGACATACCATCTCACAGTATTTCATTTATGGTTCCAGATCACACCTTGGCATCACACTCTATGTGGCTCTGCATGGTTACTGCTTAGAACCAAATTTTAAACTCATGAGCCCAGATTAGGCACCAACTAAGGACAGGGCTTTGGAGCTGTGTTCTGGCTCTACTCCAGCTCCAAGCAAAAACCTGCAGCTCCACTGCTCTGGAGCTGCTCCACGCTCCAGTTCCGGGCTCCGCTCCAAAGCCCTGTCAAATGGTCATTATATAGAGGATCCATCTACAAACACGGAAAATTTCTTTTGACCCTATAGCAGCTTTTGTGGAAAATAATCAGAATTCATCTTCCACCATGAAATCTAAACCCATTTTCACTGAAGATTGTAGGGACACAGAATGGCAGCTTTTATGACTGCAGGTGGCGCACCTACTCCTTGTTCATACAGCAGTTCAGCCATGATGTAGCTGCACTTTAGGTACTCCAGACTCAGCACTCTGTCATATCCTTTTACTATCATTTATATTACATTAACTCCCTGTATGTGTTCAGGCATACAGAAGGAAACCAACCCTGCCCCAAAGCACTAACAGTTTTGAAAACGATGAAGGATGGGAGAAAGATACAATGTACCAGGCAAGTCGTCAGGGTGAAGATTGGTCAGACCCTATGACTTTCATTTGATTTATTTTTAAATATATACATCTCCTCTATTAATCATTATTAGTTGGCTTATTTGTAAACTTAAAGGCAAGTATGAGAGATTTGTAGGTGAGGGAGAGTTATGAATGAATGTGAGCCTTACAAAGCAGCTCAGGGTGGATTTTTTTTGTGTGTGTGTAATTTGCTAGATTTAAAAAAAAAAAACCTGAAAAAACTAATTCCATCACATAGAGTTATATTGACATCCATGTGGTTCATCAACAGGGCTGGAAGCTTTAGATCCATCATACCAACTATTGACTCTTGAGCTAACGGAATAACTAACAGCAGTGGTAGGCCATCATTCTCTACCTGAGCCATCACTAGAGAAGGATGACACAGTCTCCATTGAGTTTCATGGATATTTGCTGACAGCAGAGGAATGTGAGACAGTGGAATACTCGGTTCAGTTCCAGGCTCTGGAGAGGAGCATGCGCTAATAAGAACGCTCTTTTCTCCCCTGTTGCCAGCAACTGTGACCCCTTTTGCCCAGTCCCTTTGAACCTGTCCCAGTCTTGTCCCTTCCTCATCCCAGTCTTTCCCGTCTCCAGGGGCTTCTTGCCCCTCTTCCAGACCCATTTCCCAGCCAGTTCTAGTCTCCCCTCAATGCTTCTCCCCAGCCCTCCTCTTTTACACACCGATCCTCTCCTCTCCTTGTCTAGCCAGTCCCCATTCCCCACAACTCCTCCTCTTCTTCCTGCACCGTCTCTTCTCCTACTAGTGCTCAGGCAACCCTGTTCCATGGCCTTCAGCTGCTTCCCCAATCTGAGTTGTTCAGCCCCTGTTTCACCCCCACCTCCCACTCTCTTTATCCAGGCAGTTCCATTTTTTGTGCCCCTGGCTCCTTGTCCCATCTACCCCACCATCAACCCAATACTAACTCTTGTCCTCTCTCTCCTTCAGCTGAGGTAGCTTCCTCCTCCACACTGTCTGAATGTCCATAAGGAATATGGAGGAGAAACAGTCCAGCAGTTGTCAATTCCTGTATTCATCTTATAGCAGCCAGAAGCAGCAATTTCAAATAAAGTCCTAGTCAGTGGCCTGGGTTGGCGTATGCTCAGTGCAGACAAACTGTTCTGAAAATTTTAACAGTAAAACTTCAATAAGTCACTACTGAGCCTGTTCAAACAGATTTTTAGAAGGTTTATAACTTGGCCAGATCTTTGCAGGGAGTGCCAAAGACACATCCCTGAAACCAGGGCAAGCCCCCATCTGAATTTTAAGTCTTTGTTCCAAATCTTGGAGAAGCCGGAGCTTCCGAAAATAAATAAAGCAACAACTTGCAACCTATTCATTAAGAGATGTATAACAGCATATTTTTCCCTACTTTCATTCCCAGAAACTGCTGATCTATTTTGGTTTGTTTATTTTTGCTGAAACTCAAAAACATTTCAGCCTAAAGCAGACACACCATATGGGTTTGAGCCTGAACAGTTTAAATCTGGCAAAATTATAAGTGATTTGAAAACTGTCTTAGTGTTTGACAACCTTAACAAACTTCAGTACCTGCCCCACCTATAGAATATACATAAGAGCAATATGAAAGCATAAATGGAAGGGCAGTTACTATCTAATTTTTATTAAGTGGCCTCTTCAGTCTCAGAAGTGGGTATGCCAGCAGGAGAAAGAAAAAACAATCATAGAATATCAGGGTTGGAAGGGACCTCAGGAGGTCATCTAGTCCAACCCCCTGCTCAAGCCAGGACCAATCCCCAGACAGATTTTTTTTTTTGCTACAGATCCCTAAATGGGCCCCCCTCATGGATTGAACTCATAACCCTGGGTTTAGCAGGCCCATGCGCAAACCACTGAGCTATCCCTCCCCCCTGGTCCTTTTAAGGAGTACATGCCTCCTGCTGTGTGCATTCAGCCCCCTCGGGTTGTCTTTAGAAGGAGGCTCTGGGTTGATTTGCTACACTCTTGTGTTTCACCAAAGCATATTGGCTCCACAGCACTTCATAGAAGGGTTTATAATCCCTCCCTCTAGTCCTGGAGCACAGTTCTTCTTCAAGTGCTTGCTCATATCGATTCCAATTAGGTGTGTGTGCGCACACCGCATGCACAGTCGCCGGAAGGTTTTTCCCCTAGCAACACCCGTCGGGTCGGCTGTGGAGCCCCCTGGAGTCGTGCCTTCATGGTGCGCATATAGGGCCCTGCCTCCAGTTCCTTCTTACCGCCAGTGATGGTCGTTGGAGCGTTTCGTCTTCCGTCTTCACAAGCGATCCTCTAGCATAGTCTCTCTGTAAATAGTTAAAAGACAAGTTTTTTAAAAAGTTGTTTTATAGTTAGTTTAGTTATCTGAACTGGGGATACTGGGGGGTGTTCTCCTCCACCCACTCCCTGTTTCCACTTCCCTCTCCCGGGCCTGGGGCATGCCTTGGACCCAGGGTTTAAACCATGTGGGGTTTGCCAAAAGCCTATGCTCAAGGGCGACCCACACATAGGTTTTCTAAAGTGCCTGGGGGAGTCTCATCAAATGGACAAGTGTAAGATCTGTAGGAGTTTTTGCCTCCGCATGAGGAAAGAAAGGAACCACAGGTTGAAGCTGCTGCTAATGGAAGCAGCTCTACGCCTTCAGTCCAAGTCGAGCCCCATGGACACAGCACTGGGCTCCTCGGCATCGGTGCTCAGCACACCGGCTTCAATTCAGAAGGTGCCGAGGAAGGACTCTGGGGTCAGAGACCTTCGGCACCAGCACTCCCCGGCACTGAAGACCACGGCGCGGGAACAATCACGGCACCGATCACAGTCTCCTGTGCCAAGGAAGAAACACAGGAAGATGGATGGGGGGCGTTCTCCCTCCCAAGCAGCGGAATGGGAGCCACCCAAGAGAGGGCAACTTGTGCAAGACCGCACCTCCCCTCCTGCTCAACAGCTGGCACCGTTGACTCTGGGCCCGCGGTAGGGGCCGTTGAGTCCAGTGCCACTGGAGGAGACCCAAGTGGAGGATTTAGACCTTCCCTCCACACCGGAGACTTACGAGGCAGCCTGGGACCTTATAACTCTGACAGGTCCATACTCTCCCAATCAGAGGGAGAGTGCATCAGCCCTGAGGCTCCACAGAGGCCACCAGTGCAGTCCAAGGGCAAGCCAGCTATGACTCAGCGCCCATCTCCATCTCCCCAGCACCAATCCCTGGCAACGACAGGCACGGTGCTGCCATGGTCTCCACTCTCGGACTCCTATGTGTCCCAGAGGAGCTGGCACCGTAGCCACCAACACTCACAGACTGCGGGGTGATGCAGACATTCCCCTGGAGCCATGGCCGGCACAATGGCAGGTACCATCCCAGATGCTGGCACAGTGGTCTTTCTGGACCCCATGGGCTTATTATCAGTCCCAGGGGTCTGTCTCGGAATGCTCCTCAGTTGCATCAGAGAGAAGGACTGAGTCCAGAGCTACGGATCTCTCTCAGGCATCGGCCACTGCTACTACTGCTAGCGCCACCATCGGTACCACTCCCGGCACCAACAGCAGGACCAGCGCTGTACCCAGCACTGCACCTGGCACCGCATCCACCAGAGGTGGTACAATCAGCACCGTGGAAGGCACCATGGCTGGTACCACGACCAGTGCTGCGTCTGGCACCAAGGTGGATACCGAATTGGGGGCAGAGCCGCAGTGGTTTGAAGAACCGGATGGGCAGGAGGGACCCTCCCTGGTTGGGGGTTCCTCATCCTCACCAGATGAGGCAGTGGCAGGAACATCCTCAGGGCCTCCCCTTCACGACAGCAGAACTCTTGAGGCGGGTCGCTCAGAACCTCGAAATACAGATGGAAGAGGTCACCAAGGTGTCAGACCCAATGGTGGACATTTTATCCCCGGCAGGGCCTATCAGGGTGGCTCTTCCCCTGATTAAAACTATTCAGGAGAACACAAAGACCCTCTGGCAAACACCGGTCTCTCTGGCCCCTGTAACTAAAGGGGTTGAAAGGAAGTACTTTGTGCCCTCCAAGGGCTATGAATATTTTTTCACCCACTCCCCTCCAGACTCTTTGGTGGTTGCAGCTGTCAATGAGAGGGAGAGGCAAGGGCAGCAAGGGCCTACCCCTTGAGCTAAGGACATAAAGAAGCTGGACCTCTTCGGGACGAAGATATACTCCATGGGAGGGCTCCAGCTTTGGATTGCAAACCAGCAGGCAATCCACCTTCAATGCATTGGGCCTCCTCCTAAACACTCTGAAGTCAGTGCTCACCCCTACTCAAAGAATAGAGGTCATAGGGTTGTGCTAGACTCAAGACAGGCCAGAACGTTCATGCCTAAATCCTGCTTCCAGGCCATTCACAACGTCATACAGAACCTCAGATGATTACCTATAACCACGGTAAGAAGTTGCTTGAAACTCCTAGGACACATGGCATCTTGCATGTATGTCGTGCAACACATGAGGCTCAGACTCAGAGCTCTCCAGGTGTATCGACTGAGCAGGCACAGCCTAGACAAGGTACTTACCCTTCCACTGCGGGTTCTCGAGTCTCTTCAGTGGTGGCTCGACCCGCACTTGGTGTGTGCAGGAGTCGCCTTTTCCAATCCCCACCCCTTGCTATGTCTGACCACCGATGCCTCAGCCCTGGGGTGGAGAGCGGACCTCGGAGAGCACAGAACTCGTGGTCTCTGGAGGAACTGCTGCTTCCCATCAATGTCAGGTTCCTCAGAGTATTCCGTCTGGCATGTCAGACCTTTCGGCCTCTCCTGGAGGGCAAATGCATATCAGTCTTGACAGACAATACAACAGCAATGTTTTTTTATCAACAGACAGGGGGAGCATGTCATTCCTCCCCGTGTCAGGAAGCCCTCAAGCTCTGGGAGTTCTGCATAGGACGCTTCCAAGAGTATCAAGTGTGCTATTTCCCCATGTCTCAGAACAAGCTGGCAGACTATCTCAGCAAGTCTTTTCACAATCACGAGTGGTGTATTTGCCTGGATGTAATAAGCAATATCTTCCAATGGTGGGCAACAGGAAGTGCCTGCAATTCCGCTTCTTCTTGAACCACAGCCTGGGCTCACTGGCAGACTTGTTTCTTCTTCCACGGAAGGACTACCTCTTCTATGCGTTCCCTCCTATTCCGCTAGTTCACAAGGTCCTCCTCAAGATCTGGAATGTCGTAACCTCGATGATCCTGAGGGGCACCAGCCTGGCCATGTCAGCATTGGTACACCATGCTACTGCAGCTTTCAGTGGATACTCCAATCACTCTGCCGTTCGTTCCTGACCTCATCACTCAACATCACGGTTGTCTCCAGCATCCCAATCTCAAATCTCACCACCTCATGGCTTGGAAGTTGCATACTTAAACCTACTAGAGCAGGGTTTTTCAAACAGGTCGCCACTTGTGTAGGGAAAGCCCCTGGCAGGCCGGGACTGTTTGTTTACCTGCCCCATCCGCCGGTCCGGCCAATCGCGGCTCCCACTGGCCGTGGATCGCTGCTCCGGGCCAATGGGAGCTGCTGGAAGTGGCGCAGGCTGAGGGACTTTACTGGCCGCCGCTTCCAGCAACTCCCATTGGCCCAGAACAGCGATCCACGGCCAGTGGGAGCCGCGATCGGCCGGACCTGCGGACGAGGCAGGTAAACAAACCGGCCTGGCCCGCCAGGGGCTTTCCCTACACAAGCGGCGACCCCTGTTTGAGAAACCCTGTACTAGAGCTCACATGCTCAGACCCCATTAGGGAGGTCCTTTTGGGTAGCAGAAAACCACTGAACAGAGTTACTTACCTGGCCAAGTGGAAAAGATTCGTGATTTGGTGCTCGCAGAGGCATATCCCTCCAACACAATTGTTGGTTCCCATTATCTTGGACTACCTGCTAAAGTTGAAACAGCAGGACTTGTCTCACTCCTCAATATAGGTTCACCTGGCCACCATCTCGGCTTTTCACACGGGAGAACATAGTCGCTCCATCTTCACTAATCAGATGGTGCGACGGTTCCTCAAAGGGTTGGACAGGCTGTATCCTCAAATCCGACAGCCCACCCCAGCTTGGGACCTTAACCTGGTACTCTTGAGGCTGATGGGGCCACCGTTCAAGCCCCTAACAACATGCTTACTACTCTCTCTCTCTTATAAAGTGGCTTTCTTGGTCACAATAACATCAGCCAGGAAGGTGTCCGAGCTCAAGGCATTCAGATCTGACTCTTCCTATACCACTTTTTATAAGGACAAGGTGCAGCTGAAATCTCACCCAGCATTCCTCCTGAAGGTGGCCTCAAATTTTCACACGAACCAAGACATATTCCTTCCAGTCTTTTTCCCGAAGCCTCACGCCAATAGCCATGAGCATAGGCTCCACTCCCTGGACGTGCGGCATGCACTGGCCTTTTATATTGAATGAATTAAGCCACTCCGCAAGTCAAACCAGCTGTTTGTTGTGGTGGCGGACAGGATGAAGGGCCTCCCAGTGTCCACACAAAGGATATCATCATGGATCACATCCTGTATCCGGGTATGTTACAACCTGGCAAAGGTCCCTGCCTCTGCTCTGACGGCGCACTCCACCAGAACTCAGGAATCCTTGGTGGCCTTCCTGGCCCAGGTCCCAATCCAGGAGATATGTAAGGGGGCAACGTGGTCCTCGGTCACACCTTCACTTCCCATTACGCTATCACCCACCATGCCAGGGATGATGCAGCGTTCAGCAGAGTGGTGCTTCAGTCAGAAATTCCATGAACTCCGACCCCACCTCCTATGTAAGGCTTCGGAGTCACCTAACTAGAATCGATATGAGCAAGCACTCAAAGAAGAAAAACTGGTTACCTACCTTCTCATAACTGTTGTTTTTCGAGATGTGTTGCTCATATCCATTCCAAACCACCTGCCTTCCCCTCTGTTGGAGTAATCCAGGAAGAAGGAACTGGAGAGGCGGCCAGTTGGCCGGGCCCTATATGCAGCACCATGAAGGTGTAACTCCAGGGGGCTCCACGGCCAACCCAACAGGTACTGCTAGGGGGGAAACCTTCCGTCAACTATGCACGCGGCGCGCACACACACACCTAATTGGAATGGACATGAGCAACACATCTCGAAGAAGAACAGTTACAAGAAGGTAGGTAACCAGTTTTTCTGCTCTGGAAGAAAAGCTGCAAGGAAGCAGCAGAGGAGCCTATCCCAGTTACATGTGGCCACAGACACCTTCCTACCCTCCCATGTGTGTGGCTCACATCCACTATTAGAGAAACGTAGTCTGTTCTGGATTTAAAGTTCAAGTAAGGTTTTATTTATTAAATCACTTTCGTTACCTCCCAAATTTCCCAAAATTTTATCAATGCTTCTGAAGTTTTTTTTGAGGGGGGCAGTAGTGATGCTCTCAAAAGAAGTAAGGAAATTTTATCAAGTTACACTTGGAAACAATATGCTACATAACCTTATGGTAACAGTAAGATACATCTACATAGCCTGTGTGTTAGGGTACATTAGACTCAGCTTTTGCACAGCCCATTGGTAAGTATCAAATTCAGTAATACTTGAAGATTAATTAAAATTTGTTCTTTTTTGTCTGGGTATTATCCTCCATTCTCCTCTCCTTCTACTACACATCTGTCAATGTATTTGATTTTTTTTTTTAAACATGCAGAGTTATTGAGTGTGGGGGAAGGTCAGGTTGTGTAAGATTCTCAGCAGCATGAGTCTGGGAAAGTATGAATGTAAATGCAATGCTTATCTGCTACTCCCACATATGGTTGATATAATTAATGGCTTATACTTTCAGCAGTACTCCTAACTGCAAAGCTTCCTTTCATATACCCATGATTAGCTATGTGGTGCAAATCTTGCCTTAGTTCCTTGTGTCCTTATTTGGACACAAGCACAGAACCACTGTCATATTTAAAAAGACTATTCAGATAGTGACTTTATATGCTGAAGACATTATTTTGTGCTGTTATCTGAGAACAGTACAAAATATTTTTCCCATTGTGTCCTAAATAAATTTTTCATCAAGTGTTGCAACAGAAAGTAGAAAGTATTACTCCTTTAAAAAGCATGATGATTGTGTTTAATTAACTAAGTAGATTATGTAATCAATCTTTTAAAAATTCAGATTAGTTAAGTTAATTGATGTAAAGAAAGAGATAAAGAGGCAGTGAGTGAGCTATATATGATCAAGAAACAAACATTATTACAACAAAATTGTTTCTACAATACATTTAATATGTTACTGAATCATAATTAAGGCCATACTTAATTCACAATATTGTGGAAATTGTGACTTCCACCACAATTTTGACTGTCACAGCCCCGGGCGGCCACTCTCAGCCCCGGCTGGCCAATAGTGGGAGTCCCCTCTCTCAGCCCCGGGCTGCCAACAGCAGAAAAATCACAGAAAAGTAATTAACCTTATTACCTCAAATAATAAGGTCTATTATTATTTTTCCACAATTTTCCATGGCTTGTCTGCAATTCAGTCACAATTTTTTGACAATCATCCCGCGATTTAAGTAAGGCCTTAATCATAATCATGTTTTTTTATATATATATAGAAGCTATGACGCAGCTCTTATAGGCACAGTATTAGAGTTGGGCAAAGGGCAGACGTTATACTGGCAGCAGTTTCCAGAGTTACTGTTCTTGTGTTGCAAAGTCAAAGAATGGTTAGATTAATATGAAGGGATGCATTGAAGCGCAAGTCCTCATGTCTCGCTTAACTTGGAGTTACTACATGTATATCCCCCCTTAAGTACAAAAAGGGCACGGTCCTGTCCATCCACAATGCTTGTGAGATAGCTAGCTCCACTAGGAGGCTGTGATGATCAGAAATGTTTCAACTTGGGAAGCAAGCACCAGGACTCTAGCTGCCACATGTAATTTATGGCACTGGATAAAGGGGAAAGCACCTTACCTTTTTCTCTCAACCTCATATATCCTGCACAGGACAAGTCAACATCTGCTCTTTTATTTTCACTGGTTAATTTACAAATACTTAAGCAGATGACAACCATCTTTCATCTTAACCTATATATGTTCCTTTTACAGCCACTGGACTGAGCATATATTGACTCCTGCTATGTGACAGGAAGAAATGAAGTCTATTTTCTAAACCATTTTTTCTGTACCAGACCTTTTCTTATATGTTTGTGTAGCTTCTAAAAGTATACCAGGTCAAAATATATGAATAGCCCCTGGTGGCATGTGACCTGTTAGAGATGAGTAAGAGGTGACCATCCCACTTCCAGATTTTTCTGCAAGTCAGTATTATTGTAGGGAAACTAGAGGGTAAAGTACTGCTACATGTGACATATCCACAGGTACTGAGATTAATAGTGTACTCCCAGGGCCGGCTCCAGGGTTTTGGCCGCCCCAAGCAGCCAAAAAATAAATAAATAAAAGCCGCAATCGTGATCTGCAGCGGCAATTCGGCGGGAGGTCCTTCGCTCCGAGCCGGAGTGAGGGACCGTCCGCCGAATTGCCGCTGAATAGCTGGACGTGCCGCCTCTCTCCAGAGTGCCCGCATTCTTACCTTTAAATCTGTGTTTTTACAGAGATGCCTCATTCTTACCTTTAAATCTGTGTTTTTACTTCCCAGGATTTTGGCAATAATTCTGGGCATGATATTATTTCCAAGATTTTGGAGAGGGCTCTTCTGCAACTCCATCTGTGATTGTCAAAAGAAAAGAAGTAATCAGAAGAGACCATTTTGCCAGCTGCTCTGCAGCAGTGCGGTTAGAGTCAAGTAGGAATCTTACTACTCACTGGTGTTCTTAACTGGACATAGGCTCAAACCAGAGCTCCAGGCCTTACCACCAACAGCTGTTGGGTAATTCATACCTAGAACTCAACTTTGTGGCTGAAGCCCTTCTCTCTGAGAAACCAGGGGATATTCTGATGAGCTGATTTCCTATGAACACTCGCCTTTGTGAAGCATCACTGCATGCTGGACCCAAGCTGGCGACTGATGAGAGTGTGTTAATACAGAATACTGGATTCATCACTTGAAAGTCATCAGGGAACATTTGTACAGTTGCACTGCTGAGAATGTTGCCCATACGGTGTTGGTAACTAACACAAAGCATTGAAAATGAACAGAAAGAGAAAATAGGGAGGGACATAAGAGAACCTTTTATGGGCGTTCACCTGGATAGAATAATTACAATTTTGTCCAGTGGAGAATGTGAAATGGGTAATTAGAGATCTAAGCAGCAAAACACTTGGAGCATGGAGGCTTAAATCCTTTGAGAAGGATTAATAGGAACATTATATCTTGTGGTTTGTCTTGTTAAACGTGATTGCTAAACAGAGCAAATCCAGAACTGATGAAAGGCCGTTTGATTTAGCTACTGAAAGATCATCAAATACTTTCAATTATGCTGCTTCAGAAGAACAGACAATTCTAAACCCTCTTTAAAAAGGGTGTTTCAAAAACATGATCTTGAAGATATGGCACAAACTGAACCATGGTGACATGCTCCAGGTGTTTGGGGTATGAATTAACATAATGGAGTCAACTGGAAATTAGTCAGTATTTGAGAACAAAGTGATTTTGATAGTTCAGGGATAACCATAGCCTGTAAAAACAGATAGAAAATCCTCAGAAGCTGGTGAAGAATTAATAATGACTGTTATGGGTCCTGAAGGAGCAAGTCACAGAGAAAGTCTAAGAAGATAGAATCAGAGACAACTGTGTTGAGCATTGTGTCCATAATGAATGCATCATTCATCAGAGAATTAGAATGTGAGAATTAATTTTAAGCAGACAGTAAAATGTACAGTCATCTACATCTGTTAGCCCAAGTCCAGACTCTACCTCTCATGACAAAATTTTCACTTGTAATCACTTGGATGATGGACCAGTCATCTATGGAGATGAACACCATTATGACCAGTATGTCCTAGATCAGGCTTTGTGGGTGATTCAAAAATGAGAGGGACTGATAGGGCTGTGTTTTGCGGCCAAGCATTAATTGAATAAGGAGAGCTACTGAATGGGCACATTCAGGGCAGGTTCAGGAGTCTGGGTTTCCTTTAGCTTTTGGCAATACTTTCTTTCTTGAAAGATCACGGATTTGTCATTGGCTAAAATTTACTATAGAGACAGTTAAAGGCCTTTAAGGAAAAGAATAAAGATAAAAGCAGGATATGGCACAATTATAGCCTCCACTCTTGACTAGCAGAGTAAATGAATTATCAGCTGAACTTCAGTCCTTCTAAGTAGCCCAACAAAGGATGGCAAGATTCCATATGTCCCACACATCACCCAACCTAAAGTGAAAAGGTGAATGATTTCTGTCTCTTCACAAAAGATCCTCCTTACTCAAGGCATTGATCAACTAGACAGTATCGCTATGGGACAAGAAAGCTGTTCGCCTAAAAAAAAAAAAGAGCTACAACATTTTGGCAACTTTGCTCTAACTTACTCTGAACCACACTCTTCCATGAAAAGTCCCTCTATTTTCCAAGGCTGACTAGATTATGGGCAGTTGCCATATGGGATACCATACTTGCTTATGGGTCATGCCAAATGCCAATTCCAGATGGTCCAACAGCTCCACCACCTTATCTATGTGCTTCATAGCACAGTGCCCCTTTCTGATAGCATAAGGCAGATTATTCAGGAGTGGCTAAAAACTCCCCAGATAAATCCTAAGAAGCAAGCATTATTTCAGAGAGCTAAGGCACTCTAGTGTTTTCTGAGATTATCTCTTGGCAATGAATACCTGGCATGGCCATGGATACACATTACATAACTAAGCAGATATTAAGATTGATTCTCTTGTCACTTATGTTGGTGTAAAACAGCAGTAACTCCATTACAATCAGTGACTCCCGTATGTAAAATCAGTAAGAGAGCAGAATCATGCTCGGGTCCAGGAGTTTTACAGCAAGCATCCCAGCACCTTATGGTTCAGACCTTCTAGTGCTCATCATCAAGTTTGGGACTAAAGCAGACACTGACCATAGACTCATAGAAGATTAGGGTTGGAAGAGACCTCAGGAGGTCATCTAGTCCAACCCCCTGCTCAAAGCAGGACCAACCTCAACTGATTGGGAATCTTGGATCAGAAGAGACTAAGCCCACTGAGTAACTTTCACTGAACTCCCCATATCCATGGCAAATCCTATTTTGTGGGTTTCTGAAGGCTCCAGCAGCACCTGAACTGTGCAGCATGTTCAGGGTTTCCGACAGCACTAACATTTCAATAGCCTTATGTACCACAAGCTAATGTCAGACACCTTTCTCACTGCATGGGGAATCCTCATTCAGATTCTGATGCCTATCACTTCGGGGTTCAGGCAGAAGTACGGCCAATGATATCACAAGTACTTTTGGGAAGTATACCATGGCCTAATTCAGGGGAATATCAGTTTTTCATAAGGCATACTATATTTTAGAGTGATTGCCTTGTTGACACTGGGGCGTGTTAGCTATCTGGAATAATGCCTGCTGCTTAGGATTTATCTGGGGAGTTTTTAGCCACTCCTGAATAATCTGCCTTTATCAGGGGCACTGTGCTATGAAGCACATAGATAAGCTGGTGGAGCTGTTGGACCATCTGGAATCGGCATTTGGCATGACCCATAAGCAAGTATGGCACCCTATATGGCAACTGCCCCATTCTCTAATCAGCCTTGGAAATTAGAGAGACCTTTCATAGAAGAGTGTGGTTCAGAATAAACTGGAGTAAAGTTGCCAAAATGTTCCACTGCAAATGTCCCTTGCACTGCAATCCCAACACTCCTTTTGGCAATTGCTGCCTGTGCCTATGCTGACCAGCAGTTACTTAGATAGAAAATATTAGAATGGTATTAAGTGGGTTTTCTTTAAGTGGTTTTGAATTCAAATTAGCAGCTGGATACTAAGTAGAAAACACAAATATGACCAGCCATCTCTCCTTACACAATTTGGAAACTACTGGGCTAAATTCTGGATCTCTGGGGTGGCTATTAGTGTAATTTCTGTTTATATGTAGTTAATAGGTAGGTTATTTGCAGTGGCAACTGCAATGAAATTCTGTGCTTTGTTGCAATCTAGCCTTCCCTCTGATACTAGTTCCATCAGTACCAGTCATCTTGCCATTTCTCTCCTCTTACTTTCCCTAGGCACTTAGATCATCTAATTACCATTCTTTGCGGAAGCATCATCGTTACTACATCCATTTCTTTTTATCATTTTTCCTTTTATATTTGCTGTAGACACAGTCATACCGTCTTTTTTAAAAATGCAAGCAAATAAAAACAAATCTAAAGAAGTTACACAGGAGGGGGTGTGCACAGGCTCTGAATGAGGTTCTTATATTGTGTAGCTGCAGCAGTAGATAAACTGACCTGCATGTAAACTCACTGGAAGCCCGTCTGAGGGTGGGGCTTGCAGGTTGTTGCTGTGGCAGATAACACGTCATCCTGAGAGCGGCAACTGAGGATGTGTGCTGCCTGAAAGAGAGCAGGTCTCCACTGGTGATGGTCTACTGTCTGATTTGCTGACCGCTTCTGTCAGCCTTTATAAAGCAGAACTAGTTGTCTAGCTGAACTGCAGCAGAACTACAATTTGAACATCCACTGCAGTGTCCCATCTAAGTGGCATTAGCAGAGACTGTCTCACTGCATTGCAAGAATTAGAGGTAGGTACTCCTTAAATTGTACAACATGCACCCATTCTAACAGCACGTCAAAAATATCATTAGACTAGTATGCTTTAAGATTCAAGTTACATGTATTGCAAGTCAAGTGGGGTGTTTACTTCTTATAAATTAAAAAGCCAAAAGCTTTTAAGTGTTGGTATTTGTTAAACACCATTTAGCAGCAGCCAAGTGGTTGGTGCCCATTTTGGACAAAGAAGAGTCCTTCAACCAAGTTCGTGGTTTAGGAAAACTGACCTAAACTCCTAGAGGCACCTGTCATGTCTCACCACTACAGAGGAAGGCTCCCTCATTAATTCTTGACATTTGTGATTTTGCTTCAATTCATTTAAAATCGCGCTCAGGCTTTTTTTTTTTAAGTCTCCTTCCCTAACTATGAAGTCTGTAGCTGGTTCCTCCTGATGCAGTGTTTAATTCTGCCTCCCTCTGGACCATTAGTGGCTGCTGGATTTTATGAAAAGCAGCGAGTGATCCTCATCTTACTTTTCCTGTGTTGCAGGTTCCAGTGACCAGCCTTTCCCCTAGGACAGATCTCTCCTCCTGTACGATAGCTGTGTGGTTCACAAACTGTTACTGATGTTGTGCCTGGAGAAACTCAGCAAGGCTTCAGAGCCAATCGTGTTGGGAAAAGAAGGAGTTTGGTGCTGGAATAGAGCCCGGAAGGCAACGGATGTTTCTCCCAATATCTTAACCCCAGACAGGATTCCAGAATTCTGCATCCCACCCAGATTGATTAGCTCGCGCTCTGCAAGGGATCCCAGCTCCCGCATCCAGTCCTATGCAGAGACCAACCTGTACCCTCATTGTGAACCTGTTCACAACCCCAGCACACAGCTGCCATATATCCTCTCAACTGAAATTGCTAATAACTTCATTTCAATGGAAGAAAGCACCAACTCAGACCCACAGTCACAGGCAGCACTTTCCCTGCTCCATTTCCCCAAGGTGCAGACCTCCTATGGATTCTGCACTTTGCTGGAGAGTCCCCATACCCGAAGAAAGGAGAGTATTTTCCACAGTGACCCATGCAGCTGTTCTATGTCCTGTCTACTGTTGCTTCCAAGTTCCAGAATCTGCTGCAAAGGAGTAGATTCCAGCATCATCAGCTCTACCGCCACCAGACTCCCTTCTAGGCATCCACACCTGCCAAGACAAGACACTTGTGACTGTGATACTGCTTCCTCCACTGACTCTTCCCCTTTCACCTCCTCACTTCTCAAAAGATTCCTTCCCAGATCCTGCTCTTTATTTACAATCCAGAGCCCAGAGAGACTGCTCTGCAGGGCTTTAAAGGCAGAAAGCAAATCCAGAATGCTAAGGGAGGACTTATCCACAGATGAAGACAGCTCCACAGACAACAGCCCCAATCCCAATAGACGGTCTTTGGCAAGTTTATGTGAGTGCTCAAGCACACAAAGCTCTTCTGGGTCACAGTCACCCATCTTTCCCCAGGATTTTACTAATGGCAGAGAGAGACTTAGAAATGTGCGTACAGTGTTTCTTGATAGAAGAGGAATCTTGAGACTGTCCTCTGACTACTGTCCTGAAAGCAGAAGGCTTAGACTCTGTCTGATAAGTGCTGAAGGCTTATATGATGTATTTATGGAACCTAAAAGGATTAACTGTTGCATCACCATCTCTCTTGTGCCAGGGAAAGTTCAGAAACAAAGAAGCACTGTTATAAAGAGAAGCAGAAATCCCATCTTTAATGAGGACTTCTTCTTTGATAGTATTTCTAAGGATGATCTTCACAGACGATCAATCAAGATAAAAGCGGTGAATAAAGCATCTACTATGAAGAGAGATTATATTTTAGGTAAAATTGAACTTTGCTTATTGAATATGGTGCCTATCTGAGGGGCACAGGAAAGCAATATAAGTCTAGTCTATTTTGAGCTAGGTAAATTCACTTTTGAATAAGATGTGTATTTTATGTGGCTATGTTACATTCCCTTCTTATGTTATTCTCTTTCTATTTTACAATTAATTGATGTTATTGTTAAATCATAATTGGCAAGCAAAGTTTTATTTTCAAGTACATCATGTGTAAGTGGCTGATATTAAGCAAGGTTTTTTTTTTCCACGTATCAGTATTTAAGTTCTACTATAGAGGGAACTTAAAGGATTTCTTTACCTTAATTTAAAGCAATTGCAGGATCCTTTGAAATCCCCACTGCCGTGCACTAAGTTTACAGGCCTAACAGAAAACTGGAGTTTTTGTTATCATGTCAGACCACTGGCTTGCTACTCTTGCAGCTGATATGGAAGTTAGTTGCATGTATTTGCCAACCCTGCATTTCAACAGAGGAAAGAAACTTCCTATTTAAAAAGCAATACATTCGTTCACAATTAGGTAAGAGGTACTAAGTGTTGGACATGACTTTAGATATAGTTTGGGAGTTTGCAGCAATAGAGATTTACATGTGTGAATTAGAGGCAATTTATCATACATATGTCAATGACAACTTAATCCATATTCATCTGCCCAAGAGATGTCATATGTTTGAAAGATGCTAACTTGGCTCAGGAAAATTCTTTAAGTGCCAGGTTATAGAATGAGCATGTTGTTAATCTATAACATTACTTAGAACAATGCTTCACTGCTGCCGCATGAGTATATATACACATCAATTAATACTTGCAGTTATCACAACAGGGTCCTAGCTATTAATAATTTAAATGCACCAAGGAGAAAATCCATATGATGTACTCATTCGATACTAAAAGGGATGGCACTTTATTTAACTTAAGGGGAATATTTTACAGGGTTTTTTTTTGCTACCATTTAACCAAGAAAAACTATTTTAATACAGTATGTTCAGTGTGGTTGCATGTGTGCCTCATTTTCATGAAGAAATATTTAATTTTTCTTTACCTAGATTTATTTGTAATTGACGGGGAATTTTGACAGTGTAAGGACTGCATGACTGGCCAACATTATAAGCAAAATGTTTACAGGCAAAAAGGTCTGTAGTACGTTGTTAATTGTAAATTAAGGCAGAGAACATTTGTGGCACAACTTAATTGCTGTTAACTAGGAAATTGCACTATTGGTGAATTGGTGTATTGACAGTTTTTTAATAACTCCAAAAATCCCACTTTCTTACTTTAAAGTTCATGCTCACATGATCAAGTGTTTAATGCCACCCTGGTTGTACTTAAGATTTATTTTAATACGATACTACCACGCCTTCAGGGCTTCCAGAAAAGGTAATTCCTTCTACCCCAGTAGTTTGGGTATGGGCTCTAGGATCATAGGTTTTATCTATCAGAATGGGAAAGTGGTCCATTAACTTCATTAGCATGCTTCCAGCAGCATTCTAAGCCTCTTGTTGGGGAAGGCACATAAAATCCTAACATCTGGACACTTGTTCTCTAGTGCATCTAGGGGAAAAGGGCTTCCAATGACAACCTGGTGGTACTGAGCTCCTGCCCGAAGAATGATTTGATTACCTCACCTGATGTTTAAGCTTTGTAAATGGCTCCATCCTAGCTCACATGAGCCTGAGCCTGATCCACCCTGTGTGGCAGTACACGAAAGTGTGTTCGCATCGGTGGTCTTGACAGCCAGAACAGAAACCACAAAAGCTCTTGCCATTGCATGTATGAGAACCACCTCAGTAATAAACACCTAGTTTAGAGTCCCTCAAGATTGACTCTAACCATAGAGGGGTTAAAAATGAAAGCAACCACCTTTACACAGAGTCTGGCCAAGATATAAGATAGGTAAAAATGAGGGTAATTTACTTCAGACATCTTGCCCTTACTGTTAGATAGATAGTGAATAGGTTAGGGCTATAACACAATTAGCTATTCCAATAATTAACTACTTACAGTGAATCCTTCTGGCCCATACCAGATTTAATCCAAGTATCTCTTCATTTTCCCATCAGAACCACACCCTTTGGTTACAAGTTCTTCCCCAAACTAGGATCCCAAAGACTATAAGCGTTGTCTGTGGTGCATGTCTCCGATTTGATCTTCAGACTCTCCCCACAATTTGTTGTCTCTCTTTTTGAACTAGCAACTGCTGTTGTGCCTAGGCTGAGCTTTCCGGCAGGATCTTCCATACTTATCCCACATCGTTTTTCACTTAACAGGCTGCTTATATACCTCTAACTGGGTTCTTGCCTTTCCTTCCCTTTCGCAGGATTGGTATGCACACCCTCCTTCTCTCTCCTCTGGGCCAAACGGCTGCCTCTCTCACTCTGCCTCTTTTTGCTCACCCAAAATAGCTCTGCACTAATTCATTCCCAAAGCAATCTAACTGGCCAGGAAGAACAGAGGAAGTTGTCTATCATGTTGTCCTCTGATCAGTTCCAAAACTGCAGCTATTCAGCCCCCTGCTGGAAACATAATAATGGTCCTTTCAGTGGTGTACAGGAGTATGCAGTACAAGTGATTTTTCTTAGGAGTTGTTATGAGTTAGCTTTTTGTCTTCCTGTTTCCTTTTCTAGCTGCAAATAACTAAGAGATTTCCATCCTATAATTAAAAGGAAAAATGCTGCTCTTGTATGTAATTGATAGTTTTATTCTTATTTTCTTCTGTTCTCCACCATGATAGACCATGATCCACAGGGAGAGAGAAACATCAAATCCATGCTCTATCAAGGAGATCTCAGAGCAGACTTAGTTTTGTTCTAGAATTTCTTCATTCCCTCCCATTCAGCCTTGGAGATACACAAATTTACAATAAAAAGCAGTGGTTCTCAGCATTATCAGACCTTCCTACTCACTGCTTTCACGACCACGCATTTCAAACATTCCAACTAGGCAGAACATTAGTATCTTATCTTCAAACTCTAGAAACATATGTGGATAAACAATGTGTGCTGTTGAGTTATGAAGATAACATAGTTATGTTCTGCCTAGATGGAATGTTCAAAGTATATGGTAGTAAGAAATATGAGTGGGCGAAGTTAGACACTGTGCCAATGAGGCTGGAGAAAGTGGCTAGTCCAGAGCATGAGACAAAAGAATACTTTCCTTCAGCCTAAATTCACCATCTTTGTTCGTCAGTACTTTTGGCTATATTATGACACAAACTGGTTACTGAACACAGCTTAAGGGGATGTGTTATGTTGCCTTGCTTCTTTGACATAGTAACTACATGCCACAAAATATAGTTATCAGAAAGCAAGCTGCTAACACTTTTGCAAATAAGCCACTGCACCCACAAAGAACAGAAGCTTGCTGAGATTCATCTGAAAATCAATCCCTAAATGCATATTATATATGTGAAAACATATAGATGAACAGGGTGAGAAAAAAATCTGCACAAAAGTAAAGGCAGATATTTATCTTCATTTCACTAATTCCAGGTCCTCAGCAATATCACATATTTTGACTCAAATGTTATTTCATCTTCCACTCTCAAATTGTTCTGTTTTGCTTTTGGCTTTATTTTATGAATCATTTGAATCCAATCAAGGAAAGTTCATATTTCCATTATATTGCATCCTACAGTTTCAAGAGAAGAGAAAAAGATACATGTTAAGTCAAAGGCCCTGGTGGCAAAAGAGTAAACAGTGTTGTGAGTTTGTTTGGACCCTGCCACATCCCGAAACACCAAGTAAACAGTGTTGTGAGTTTGTTTGGACCCTGCCACATCCCGAAACACCACATACAAAAAATTATTCAGTGGTGATCTGTGTGTTTAGTAATTTTAATATATAGCCCACCTGAGAGCAACAGCAAGCATCAGTGTACCCCACAACTTGATCTGAGTTTACAAACCAAAAGAAGCTTTGATATCTTCTGTAACCAAAGCTATTCAATGTCTTGAAAATATCTATTGAAAAAGATGTACAGTGAAAGAAACAAGACACCTGTAAATTCCTTCACTGTTGCCTGCACTTTATTACAGGAATTGAATAGGCTTTTTATGTAAAAAAAAAAAAAACAAGCAAAGCTAAGGTATGTATTTAAAGATCTCACCATCTTCCTTTTGATCACCCTTTAAGTCAATACCTGGAGTAAGCCTGCAGCTGCATTGGGTAATGTGAGTTTACCATCCCAGGGTCTTACATGGAATATCCCTCACCCACTTGTCGAACAAAAGTCCCAGTAGTTTGAAGGTGTAATCCATAATAGCCCAGGACATTCCTTCCTGAGCTCGATTAAAAAGTTCTCACAGTAACAGCTACTGCTTTTATTTATTTTTCCAACTCACAATCAGCCAAGATTGTTTCCATTCATCTGATAATAGGTCTCCAAGTTGCCCTTCAAAGTTTATCCTATTTCAAAGTTTATCATATTTCAGTTTCCACAAGGGAAAAATAATGTTATCACTGAACCTGTTGTAGCTCTGACGCTGATCCTGGGTATAGGTCTTACCAGGATTCTCGAGGAGGGAGAAGGTAACCTGTTGTGTGAACATAAGCAACAGTTATCCCGCAAGTAAGGTATTAGAACATTAGAGCTAGGCATCATCTAACACCACCTTTGCTTTCGCTGAATCAGGGCCGTCCTTAGGATTGATGGTGTCCTAGGCGGGATTATTAAACTGGTGCCCCTGTGCCTGACTTGCTCTTAACAACACAAACATAAGCTTACAGTATTGGAAAACTTGCCACATGCACGTTACTAAACCCAGTTTAACTGAATTAAGCACACTGTAATGCTGATGGACTAGCACTAAAGAAGTAGCGCTATAGAAAAAATTCTGATTTGACAGAATGATGCAAATC